TTCTAGCACTATTAAAGATGAACTAAGGTTGCAGTCAAGTCCTACAATGCAGCACAGGCAAGCACTGCCAGAAACATCTTGGACTGATGGCACATTTTGATTTTGAATCCATTTTCACCATATTTAGAAACCTTTTACTGCTACCAAAATTTTCATGACCTCCACGTGTCATCTATGGTTATATGGAGTCAGTACCCACAATTTAAGAACTTCTCTGCACAGCTCTACATGTCCATAGCTTCCGAGCCACCCCATTTCAATTTCCATGTCTCCAAATTCTGGCTATAGTTGCCAGCAACTGTGAGTCCTAAGCATGAGTATGGAGAATTGGAACTAGCTTACTGTTTTATATACAACATCATATTGCACCTAGAAACAATAAAAGGTCGTGATTGTACTATCAATCTTTATAGGGAACTAGAGGTTCAGAGAGTTAAAATTATATTCCACAGTTTACACAGAGATGACATTAACCATAAAGTCATCACTATACAGAACCACTGAGATGGCTGTCACTGCTCCATGCCTGGGATCCACACGGTGAAAGACAAGAACCAACGCCCTCACCACTTGCCTTAGTTTGGTTGTCTGTTAATTCAGGAAGGAAAGGGTTTATTTCAGCTTACACTTCCAGGTTAACAGTCCATCACTGAGGGAAGTCAAGGCAGGAACTGAAGTGGACTCTACGGAGAAACTGATTCCTAGCTTGCTTCTTTTGGATTGCTTCTTTACATAGCCCAGGCCCACCTACCTGGGAAGGACACCACCCACCAAGGGCCAGTTGCTCCTATATCAATTAACAATTTAGAAAATGCCCTCACAGACACATCCACAGGCCAGTCTGTTGGAGCCAATTCCTCAACTGAGGGTCCTTCTTCCCAGATGACTGTAATTTGTGTCAAACTGACAAGAACCAAGCAGCACAGCCACTCCACAATGCTGCCTTCCTGGAGTTACAGAAAAACCCAGCAGAGCGCCTGATGTATGGGGAGGAAAGGAGTGCTAGGTATCTTTTATTCTATAAATAAATTTTATAAATAGCTTCATTTTGTGAGTTTCTATCAGAAGAGTACTTGCCTAAGGTCACACAATAGCAGAGTCAGGAACAATCTAGAAGCTCCAGGCCTGTTTCCACTGCACTGTGCCATGCTTGCTGACTTCCCTGGCCTTAGGGGCAACAGACCCTGCTCAGTTTTGCTCATATAATAATTGCTTTGTCCTTCCTCCGTTGGAGGTCCTTCTCCTTTTCTCTGGCTAGCTAGGGCTCAAGTGGTAATTCCCAACAAGTGAGTTAATTTTTAGTCTGGGCATAAAGGACCAAAAGCAGTGGACAGGAACAAAGAAATGATTCCTCCAGCAGGGGAGCTCACTCCAAACACACCACAGGAAAATGCCACAACTTCATACACCTTAATCTTTAGACCATCCTCCTATAATTTATGCAAAAATAGTACTCCTTTGGCCATGTGCATACCTCAAAAGGGCAGGTCTTAACTAGGAAACATTATATTTTAACCCTTGATTATGGGAGACATGAATCCTCAGTTACATAAACTTTGCCAAATGCCACACACCTAAGGGAGGACCCAGGACAGACTCTAAGTGCAAGTGACATGACAAATGGACACGGGTACCTGCTACCTGCATAGGGGAGGGTCCTGAAGCTGCTTGCTACTCAGCAACGAGGGATGTGCTGGGCACCTAAAGGCTCAAGGATAGCAATTCTCCTGTCCGGGGAACAGTGTGACCCAGCTGTCCCAGGCCACTATTGTGCTGGGCCTTCTGCTGCGCAGACCCAGGACAAACAAGTCTCCCACTAATAGATCAGATGTGGTCTTCTCACACTGCATCTTGGGTATGTTACAAAAGACAAGATATAGTCACTAGGAAGGAAGACCATTTCGAAGACATACCAAAGCCTCTGGGGTGAATTTGGGACACATCTGTCAAATGTGTTCCTACCCATCATCTTTTGGGCTATCTGCTTCAGTCTGAAGTTTCCATGCCTTGGGCCCCTTTCTTGTTGTGTTACCGTGCATTCTCTCAGCATCCCTTGATGTAAAGGGAACAGAAATGGGATCCCAGCTTATGTCAGTTAGAATCCATCACTGTGACAAACACCTGAGAAAACCTAGTTAAGCGGGAAAGATGTGCACTGGCCCATGGTTTCGGGGTTTCTATGCCATCATGGTCTGGAGAACATGGCCAAGCAAAGCAGCTCCTACCATGGAGGGCGAGAAGCAGGGAGACAGAATGCCTGTGCTATCAGTATTTCTCTTCTTTCCTTTTTTATTTCATCTAGACTCCCAGCCTGCACCCATGGGGTCTCCCCCTTTAGTCAACTCCCTGTAAATTCACTCCCGGACAGACACAGCAAGGGCTGTGCCTTATTAATCTCCTAGGCAGCCCTCAGTCCAAATAGCTTAATACATTAGCACTTTTTTTCTTGCACTGCCAAATCATTCAAGTTTTTATATATAAAAAAAAAAAAAAGAATCAGACAGGATATGGTTTTTAAGCATGACTCTCCTAGAGACATTTTTCAAGTTGACATTCAAGGTTAACCACCACAAGTCTCTGCCTATTGGATGGGCTTCTGGCCAGGTGAATACTCAAATGGGAACAAATGAAAAGACAAGCACCAGGCCCTACCCCAGGGAGCATGGTTTGCACTCCCCAGCCTTCTAGTACCATCTGTGGAGAAGCCTGTGGCATCTGGATGCTGGTGTCACCCATGAGATATAGCATCAAGATGGATGATGGCAGCAAGAATATCTTCTCTTCTCTGGTACCCAGATGCAGTGTGGCTGGGCTGTTCCCACTGAAGGAAGTGGTGTAGATCAAGACAAGTGGCATTGTATGAACCAGCCTCATGTCACCACAGGTGCAGATGTCCTGCTGTGTAGGACTTCCCATGCCTTTGCCATAAGCTCCTGGGGTAGCAGAGAGGTGCCGACTCTGGACTCAGCCCCACTGTGTATATGCCTGGCGCACCATCTGCTCCTGGCTCTACCTCCTGGGATGTGTGACCTAACTTCTGACCTTCAGTTGTCTCTGATGAAAAATAGAGCCAACAAAATCTAACTGCTACTAAATCCTCCAACTAACTCTTCAGAAGATTCTGTAACTGGGGAGCCTCAGTGCGTTATTTTCCCTTCATCTTTATTCTAATATTGCTGCTAATACATTAGCACTTTATTCTTGCACTACCACATCATTCAAGTTTTTATTGAAGAAAAAAAAAAAGCCAGGCAGGGCATGGTCTTTAAGCATTACTCCACTAGAGACATTTTTCAAGTTGACAATGATCTACTCATAACACTCCTGGGGTCTGTTTGATCAATGAGCCATGAAGGTATCCAATGAGACTGTCACTCTAGCCAGTATTCTGACATCTACAAAGGGATATCATTGTCAGAAATAGGGAAAAAGAAAAGAGAAAAAAAATTGCAGTGGAATTTCCCCTGAATATTGGTCCCATAATCCTTTAACGTCCATTTTTCAAATACTGGTGAAGGCCGGCAATGTGGTTCAGTTGGTAGAGTGCTTGTCTGACATGCACAAAGCCCTAGGTTCAGTCCCCAATGCTTGGGAGGTAAAGGCAGGAAGAGGGGAAGTTCAAGGTCATCCTCTGTTATTACAAGTTTGAGGTCCAGCCTGGGCTACATGAAAGCCTATCTGAAAGATAAATGGAATTCATGCTGATGAGCAGTTGCTGGGGAGACCCCTCTTGCATGGGCAGCCTGTGAAGCACCCAGAGAGTTTACCCATATGCTATTTGTGTGGCCCTTGCGCCACTCTGACAACAACCAGGATGTCTTCAAAGGTCTTTGCTTGATCCTACAAAGTACCTTGACCTTTCTGATGACCCCAGTCATGCCACATAGGAATTCATTCTAAGACGTTGCCATCCTCCAGTGTTTAAAAATGGCTGTACAGTGCTGAGAAATGCTAGGTGCTGGGCATTCATTCAGACAGGCACAGTTCCGATCTCATGGGGTTCAATCATAAGAGAAGAGGGACACATAGAGGAATAATGATCTTAAACTAGGAAGGCTGTTAAAGTGGCAGAAGCCCAGGAAATCATCAGGGCATACTGAAGCCAGAGACCTACCTGAAAGTAACACAAGAAAGTTCCAATGCGTCCCCGTTATTCACACTCTACATGAAAAAGCAATACTCTCAGCTACTATCTCCTTGACTATATTCTTAGTTTGGCCAAGAGAGTGTCAGATAGCTTTGAGGCTCTCTGAACACCAGATTACAACAGCTGAGGACGACCTGGGAAGCATCAGGAACTCTGTGAAGGTCTAGGAGGAGGAAGGTGATACAATCAGAGCTGTGTGTGGTTCAACGTGGATAAGGGACAGGAAGAGAGGCAGCTCCATCAGATGGCTCTGTCATTATCTCAGTTGACACAGGAAGGCTGGTTATCTGCATGTGTAGTCCAACAGAGGTTTCACTTTCTATACACATCTCTGATTTATTGCCCTATCCTTCATTTATTGCCCTATCCTTCAGGATAACAATCCATTGCATTGTGCAATCCAGATGTAGGCTAAGAAATAACTTATGTTTATTAACATAATTAATTAATAATTATTTTACCCACAGTAATCAGTAGAAAAGATTATATTCCATAAAGCTACCAGGATACCTGCCAAGAAAATGAAATTATCAGCTAAATTATTGGAAACAGTATTTAAAACAGCTGCTGATCCACAAAAATCTAGAGAATGTTGATTTGTTATACTTTGGTTAAAAATCCCTTAAAAGAGAATGCTGTGTGCTCAATTAACCCATTCCAAAAACTTCTCTTAAGCCAGGCTACCCGCAAGGAGCAAAGTCCCTCAAGATAGAAAAGATCTACAGTCACCAACAAGGACTTGATTCTAAGTGAAGGTCAAGGCCAAAGTGATTTCTCCAAAGCATTTTAAGACTTCAGCACACCAGCGCTGGCAGTAAGGGGACCAATGAGCAGGGACAATGGTTGTACTTACCCTGTGTCATCCTGGAAGCCTTCCAGCTCATCCCGCTGTTCCGCCAGTGTGGCCTCCAGATCCAGGTAAGCACCATTGTGGGACAGCTGCAGGGTACAGTCATCGAGCTAGGAGAGAACGAAGGAGTTAGTCCCAGCCATCTCCTTGGATGGGAACCAGGTACCATCAAGTCACCTTAAGTTGCCCTCACGGGCTTTTTAAAAGTCCAGCGTTACTCTGAACTGTGATGCAAAGCTGGAGGAGGGAATACACTAGTGTAAGTACACTGGATTGGGATTGGTACAAGTAGACAGGAGTATCTGTCAGAGGGCTGGCATTGCCCCCAAGTTGTTAAGATTCTCAAGTTGTAGTTGACAGCATTTTGCTGTATTTAGAATGATTACTTACACTTAAAAAGGTAAATTATTTTTCCAAAGACTGAGATTAATATTATGAGGAAACCAAGTGTATAATGTCATGTTTGCCTCCTTGAGTTGTCAGGATGGCTCTTATGGTTCATCTGGTTGTTAAGTCAAAACCCTAGTTGCAAAATGCAGGCAAGCAGCAGCTCACAACTGAAATCGCAGTCCAGCAGGGGCAGAGGCAAGAAAAGAGGTAGGAAGAGTATGCTGCTGATCACAACCATAGTCCTGCCTAATGGGACTGCTCGGCTCCATTTGAATTCCTAGTTTTATTCCCAGAAGCCTCAAGTGAACACTGAATCTTCTTTCCTGGTCCCCACAGCCTTCCAGGGATCTGCCTCAACATGTTCTGTGTCAAGCCCCAAAGAACAACAGGAAACCCCACAATTTTCCCAGCCTATAGCAACAGATCCTCAGGCCTCAACCTAATTGCCTGACCCCGCCATTCCCCTCTTCACATTCCAGACATCACTAACTACCACCATTTCCAGAATACCGTCTTAGCAAAATGATGTATCTGACCCAGGCAGGACACCAAAGAACACAGAGAGGCTTCCTTCCCTCAGAGATACGGTTTCATTGAATGAGTGGGGCAGACGGACAGACTGTAGATTAGAATAAGACAGAAGTTAGATCAGCTGCCAGTCAGTGGATGCTCTTGCTTAGTTTATTCTCCAGTGACTCCTTCAACAGAGATGCCAAAACCCTCTATAATGTTGCCCAAATCCCCACCCAGACGAAGACTATCATTGTTTCCTAGCCAAATGTCACCAACTTGATCCCCTAATTAAAGGGTGAACAAGCCCCTGTACATTTGGACTAGTGAATGTCTCAACTGAAAAAGAAGAGGTGAACATGGGCCTCTTAGTCCCTGAAGAGGAACATGTGGGGTATGTGCAGAACAACCAGGGGATGAAAGGCAAATAGGGATACTGACTGCCCTGGGACAGACTGCCTTGGGGACGTGGTGTGCATAGAGGCTAATATGCCAAGAGAGTCAACACACTGCCAAAGCTATGCCATGATGCATACCCAGCCTCACCATGACACCCAAGACACAAGATTAATATTTAAACTATCATCGTGTGAGCCAAGGAGCATGGGTAAAAAGCACTGGGGCTAGAACAACAGAGGGAAATCTCCTGGATAGTTCAGAGTTCAGGAGGCAGCTTCAGGTCTCACTTTCACAAAGTGGTAGACGCCTGTATTAGTTACTTTGTTCACGGCTGTGACAAAGATACTCCGGCAAGGGTTTGTTTTGACTTGTGGTTGAGGAGGGGATACACTCCATTAGGTCCGGAAGGTGTGGGAACAGGAACAAGAAGCAGCCGGTCACTGCGTTAGGTGAGGAAGCAGAGGGGCGAATGCTGGAGCTCAACACACTTCCTCCTTTGATCTAAAATCCAAGTCCTCAAGATGGTACTACCCACATTCAAGATGGGGACTCCCTTCCTCAGGGAAACCTTCCTGGAAACATCCCTGCAGACAAACTCAGAGGTGTGTCTCCCTGGAGATTCAAGTTGCCAACAAAGATTAACCATTTCAACCTGGGTAATGATTACTAAGTAACAATTGCAAACTTCCAAAACAAATGGCCACAACCAAGGTGTAGAGGCAACCAAGAAAGGTGTATTTCAAACTGGTTGTTACAAATATACAGGCAGAAATATCCAAGCTTTCCTTACCGAAGGACTCAGACATCTCCCTGCCAGACTGAGTCCCTGGCCTCCATTCTGGCTTAGGGGGAGGCAACCTGATCCCTTGCCTTGGCCTCTCATGTCAAATGTCCTCCCAGATGACTTAAGGGTCCTGGAATTTCCTGACTCTGACAATTTTCATGTCAACCCTGATCCCCTGGCAGCATGTCCCCTGCACTCCTTTCTTGACTGAAAGTTCGGTGGCCAGGACACTGTCGGGCACTTGAGGACATAAGACAAAGCAGGGAGCCATGTTGGAAGATAGCGTTACAGGGCTATTATAGAAGGGTGGCGATTAGGGAATTTAGGGGTGGTGACATTGGCGGAGCTGAGCGACTTCAGATCAGGTTACAGGCTGTCAACCTGTGGCCAAGGTTCTGGCAGGGATCAAGCTGCTCCAGAGGGAGTCAATCCCAGACCCACAATAAAGGTCCTTCCACATCTCCTGAATGGGCCACTCCCCCCTGCTGGCCCAGTCAAAACACATCCTTTAAACAAGCAGCCTGGTGACACAGAAAGCTCCCTCTGCTCCTTATTACAGATGCGGCACCATGACTCTGGGGTTCTTTTGACTGTTCCTACAAAGACAGAGCACTCTCGAAAAGGGCAGGCTCACCATTCCGGAAAAACCTCAAACATCTGAAGCAAGGCTGATGTCACGTCTCGGTTTATATATTCCTTCCCTCTCCCTAAGCCAGTGAAGTGGTGTGTTGCTGGGGTGGTTTAATGATTATCTGGGTCCTGGCAGCAAGTCTAGAGTCTAGTCTAGGCAATAAAACTTCTGTGTAACCCTGAAATAGATTTGAACAGAAACCTTCTATAAATACACATGAGGTTACCCTTTAAACTAATTTTGGGAGTTGCATAGAAATGAGAAAATACGTGGTTTAACAATAGACTTCAGCATTTATAGAAAATCTCAAATAAACCTCACTCACTTGTGTCTTTTGATAGGACCCTCCCATGCTCGCATCCACAGCCTCCCCCATGTGATCTATACAACAGCCTGGAACCCAGGTTGGCCTGCGTCTGTACCACCTGATGGAGCTGAGCTGACAGCTATAGGCACTCACCCCCAGGAGCTGTCCTCCCTCATGGTTATTGGAATTCCGCCATTGAGTGAGGCCAATCTAGATTGCCAAGTTCCAGATGATCCAACGGCTGATGACAGACACATGAGACAGCCCAATAGAAATAGGGAAACAACCCTAAGCCAGCACTTCCCAGTAGATCCGTAGGCTTCAGGGTAACTTCGTGGTTGTTAATTTAAGTCCGTCTCCTGTCTCCATGATCTGTCACCACAGACCACCCACAGCTGACAGGTAGGGCAAACCTGACCATTAGAGTTCCCAGCATCTGGGTGGGTGCTGTGGATGATTGATTGATAAATAAAATGCTGACTGGCCAGTAGCCAGGCAGGAAGTATAGGCAAGACAAAGAGAGAGGAGAAGTCTGGGAAGTGGAAGGCTGGGAGGAGGAAACGCCAGCCTGCCGTCCAGGGAGCAGCATGTAAAGGCAGCAGGTAAAGCCACGGAACATGTGGCGACATATAGATTAACAGAAATGGGCTGAGTTTAAGTGTAAGAGCTAGAGAGTGGTAGGCCTGAGCTAATGGCCGAGCAGTTTAATTAATATGAGCTTCTGAGTGATTATTTTATAAGCAGTTGTAGGGTCTGTGGGGCTGGGCAGGACTGGAGAAAACTCCAGCTACAGGTGGGTGGTGGGGGAGAGGCTCTCTGCACAAGTTGCCCACTAAATGTACGGTGACATGACAAGCTGAAGTAGGGATGGCCACCAAATATCCAGGCCTGAGACGGAACACAGAGCACAAGTACCTAACCTTGACCCTCTGAGCTAAAACTCCTGCTGAGGAAAAAAAAAAAAAAACCCACAACAGCAGGTGTTGAGTACAAGGGACCAGAAGCACAGGGAATGAGGGAACAGCGATTGCAAAGAGAAGTGTGAGAAAGCAGGCGTGTGAAGTCCCTGGTCCCCAGAGTTCATTCTACTGGTCCACCTTACTCCTCTTGCAAACTTCAGAGTAAAAGATGACAGTTTTGAACACTTAGTCCCCGGCTGGTGGCACTTGTTTGGGAGGTTGTGGGTCCCTTAAGAGATGGGGCATACAACACCAGGTATGAGAAGCCCTCTTCTTAGCTATTGATCATGGTTTCCCAAGAGACTCCTAGAACACACAGGCTATTGCTATTGCCCTTGGTTGCCACCCCCCACTCCTAGAGATGGAAGTTAAGACTCTATTGTTGAAACACCATGCGCTTCAGGCACAGGGCCCAGCGACCCCTGGGCTAGCACTGACCTGAATGCCTCCTTCCTGAGCACTAGCTTTCCCGGTACACAGAAGGCACAAGGCAAACTTCCAAAGCAGGGAGACAACCAATAGTCCTACCCAGCTATGAAGCCTATGAACCACAGTCATGATCAGTATGGCATCATAACACAAAAGGTGCCATAGTGACATGCATACCTTAGTGGTACCCAACAGCTCTCTAATTGGATTTAAGACCTACAGAACAAGATGGAAATCATGCCTGGTTCAGGAAATCTAGCCAGCTACCAGGGCTAGTGAAGTCATGGATCTTGGAGGAGAATCTACAACCACCACTTTACCAAACCAGCATAATCCCTGAGTACATTCTAAATATTTGTCCTCACACACACAGATAAGTGCAGTCCTCACCCCACATCAAGGGAACTTCTCTTTGCAACATATAGAGACCATTACAGAAAACCACAACCAATCAGAATGCAGGGTTATGGAGCCCAGTCGCAGTGGATACATCTACGACATAGTCTGGCCCCTAGGGGGACACTGCAGAAGAGGGATGGAAAGGTTATAAGAGCCAGGGGTCACAGAAATTGCTGTGACATTGTGTCTCCTAGTAATGTTGCAACACACACCCATAAGTTCCCACCAACATGACTACCTAAACATGAGCTGAACAAGGACAGCAATAATCATAACAGAGTGGATGGGGGAAGACCATGAGG